GCCAAAATTGCCAAAACTGCATTTGATTTTCAAAAGTGACAGGACTGGAAATATTAATTGTCCAAGTTTGTCCTAAAAGGCATAAACAAGTCTACCCTTGAACCTCATTTCTAAATTAAACCGCAATGGCATGAATCACAAATAGCATGAGGGTGAATAAAATTCTCCCGCTGTAATAATGATAATGATAGTAGTTAAGTGAAGATATTTGTAATCTGTCTGCAACACATGTGGGTCATGAATTATTAATAACAATATCAATGAACTGGTCTATTTTCACACATAAGGCGCATTAAGTGAAACAAAACAGTCAACTAAATCATCATCAGAGCAACCTACGATGTGCTCCCATCTTCAAAAAACCTCTATGTGTGGTACGGCAACGACCCAACTTGTGCCCTTTGCCCAACTCCTGTGACTCTTAAACACATCCTAACCAGTTTTAAGACCAGCCTCACACAAGGCCGCTACACCTGGAGGCAAAACTTGAGAGTAAAAAAAAATGCAACCAATTTCTTGCCCCTGAGAGCACCCAACCGCATCAAAGCACCAACATTAATTTGAGAAGGACAGAAAAGCCCAACTATCCCCATACCATACCAGATGCTGAACACCTAGCTATGGTGCGGGATTAGAAGGGGCTAGTCAATATCAACCAACAACTAATTTTCCCACCAGAGATAGCAGCCACCACCCATAGACCAGACTTAATAATGTCTGTCAACTTCATAGAGCTCACAACCCCCCGTGGGAGCCAAAGAGGCCTATGAGTGAAAGAAATTGCACCACACAGAACTAGCAGCAGTCGTGCAACACCTAGGATGGAAGGCGAAGGTCTATCCAGTTGAAGTGGGATGCAGAGGTATTGTGGTTTGTTCCACCATCAGGATTCTAAAAGATCTTGGTATCCGTGGACAGGCTCTGCGACAGACAATTAAATCAGTCTCAGAAGCAGCCAAAAGAAGCAGCCAGTGGTTATGGGTTAAGCTATGGGTTAAGGGTTTCCTACTTGGCCCAGAAAACACAAGGACCTAATCACATATCCCCACCCACACCACCTCCCACTTGAGACCACAGGTAAGTTAACAGGATATGCGTTCAGCTCTAGCCTTAAGTCAGGGGATGCAACACCTTGCATAGTTCAATGAGCTGCGTACCATAAACACCAGGCATCAGTCATGTTTGGGCATGGGACACAAGCTCAGGCTTGATCATCCTGTAGCTCGCCGCTTTTGATGAGGGTGTGTAGTATTGAAACATTGAAACACCCAGTGATTCATAGATACACTGCCGATGATGTATCCCAAAATGTACACCCTTCCAATGGCTGTGAAGTCACACTCCACTATCAACATCAAGATAAATCTCATGGCAATACCACCTATTGGCACAATGGACCGTTTACCATGACGTACGGTGTTTTTATGATTCTAGGTAAACTTCCTCTACTATCACCTCCAATATGTTGGTTGAAAAGAACTATTTCGTTGGAGAGTTAAAAACATTATTATCTTTGATTTCTGATCAGGGACACACTCCTACTTTATGTAGTCGGAAATAATTCTAGCCTTATCTTTGTAAAGACTAGTTTCAATATAGTCAAGGGGCAGTGGTACTATAAGTGAGTGAAACTGTACACACTAGAAAAAGTCTTCTTTGACATTCTGCCTGTCACCATAAGTCATAATTTATTCTTAACACTGACTGAATATGGTCTGATATTATAAGATTTTCTATAGGCGTGGGTTTGAGGACCCTATCCCAACCTGTAATGTAATTAAAAGAAAAAAAGACAGAGCACAAATGTTAAAAATCTCTTGTAAAGTACATTTTTGCATTGAGATGCCAACAGTAGGGCAAGGATCAGGATGAAAGTTAGTGGGGAAAAAATACAAATATAGAGGAAGAAGTGTGACACATCTTGGGTTAGTTGTTAGTTACAGAGAAAATGTTAAATTTCAGGCTACAAAATCCCCAAAGCCTAAGAACATAGGTTAAAAATATAAAAGAAGATGGGTCCAAACCTTGTGTTCTTCCTGCAAAACACACAAAATCAGACAAATAAAACAAACATCAGTGATCAGTGTCAACAAACATAAAAATGTTTACTTTACATTACAATTGATAAACAACAAAACATTATCACATCAGGACTGATTTTCTACACAAGTGAAAGGTGTGGGCATGTTAACAAACGCGATGATACGTTATATCATGTCACCAAGCATGCACAAGGAGGCAAGTGAAGCGTGAGACATGTTAACTTCTGTACTTTGATTCTTTTTTAACTATGACTTGCTGAATACCTACAAATTCTACCTAAGAAGGACTGAACAGAGCTTCAAGCATGGCTTCGAGCATCTGTGGCATCTTACCTCTTCTTCCTCGCCAATGTCTGTCATGCCCCACATGTAGTTAAGCCGTACCTGTCGTCTTTTCCAGTGCTCCATGAAGAGAACAGCTACATAAGAAAGCATACAAAGAAAATTGGTCACTACGTCAAATGAAATTTGCAAAAACAATTTAAAAAAAACCCAGATACTTAAGTTGGAGGTATAATGTAGAATAGGCTTTCTTGTCTTACACATGCAGAACAAAATTGTGTGGTTAGCCTGACAGCTCACTGTGAAGCTGCTTTAGACCTATCAACAGCAGAATAGAATAAATTAAAATAGAATAGTATTAGGAATGGCTTTTTTTAGTTATTCATGTCCAATACTGATACTACACTTTGGAGTATCCGGTATTACCGACATAAATCCAATACGTTCTTTTCTGCTCCAGCATACAGTTTGCATCTTATATTTCAGCCTAATTTAGCAATTATAAATGGTCTTTGTGTTGGTAAGCTATTCTTCATTCTGTGTTTTCATAAAAGCCTAGCTGTTATGCATTGTAGTTTAGTAAAAAATAGTTTAGTAAAAAACATCCATCCATCCATCCATCCATCCATCCATCCATCCATCCATCCATCCATCCATCCATCCATCCATCCATCCATTTTTATCTCATTATCCGTTACTGGGTCGCGGGGGCAGCAGTCACCCCCCAAATCACATTGCACCGTACCAACCTCCCTAAACCTCCCTGCGGGTGGTGAGTCCACTGGAAAGTATTAACCACCCTAACTGGGATTCGAACTTGCCCAGGAGGTGAACCCTGGGGTTCCACACCAATGACAGAGACATTGCCTCTGGGCCAAAGCGCCACTTAAATACACAGTTAATATTGTTAAACATTTGAATCAAATCAAATAACTAAACACAGCAACCATAAATATAAATAAACAAACAAAATAAACAAAGTCAACATTATGACACTACTCCGTGACTGGAGTGATCCCCTTCTTTTGGGCAATTTTATGTTTTTGATTATGTTTTCCACTAAATCCGTCTTTTCATTGAAATAACATTGTATGACTATGAGATGGTGCTGTCACAAAGGGATAGCCCACAGTTATTGTTTGTTTTATATGAGAAGTGAAATTTGACCAACACTTCCTCTGAATCTTACCCCAAAGAGACATAAAGACAGAAAAAAAGACAGTTGCAGGGTTGTCAAACAGGTGGCTTGCACGAGCTGTTCCACATGCAGTCGCCAACTTCCAGTAGCCACAGACACGATCACACAATGGGCACATGGTGATGTTGTTCCTTGGGTCGCAAATCTCCATACTGAAAACAATGGATAAAAATATTATTTTTGCCAGTGTGTATAGTAACTGGCATAAAGTAAGCTAAGTAAGTAAGCAAGGCAACTATGAACATGAAGCCACATGAACCATTACAATCCTACTGATGCCAGTTCAAAACCCTTGTTTTATGCAAGGTATATTTTTTTGCAAAATTATACCTGGGAATGTTGTCGTCAACAGTTGCACAGCCGTAGAGAAATACAATGACACCAACAATGGCTGCAGGAATTAGCATCTGTGTGTATACACCCAACCAGGCAAAATACAGCCCAACCTTTTCCCCATAATATTTTCTGTGGAGGGGAAAATAAAAAATGTGTGGTAAACATGTCATGTGTCACACAAGACTGTAGCTTAAGAACTGCAAAGGATACATAAAACAGTAAAATAACTGGTGCTTGGTACAAAAAGCAATCATGTTGACTTGACCTGATGAGCGCAATTGGTTGGTACTTGTAGAAGACACTGTAGCTGGCCCATTCCTCATATAACAGCTAAAAAAAAGAGCAAAAACATTACTGCCTTTTTGAGATTGTATATTCAAAACTATACAGACCATTGTTGATATATCAGAAAATTAATGTAATGCAGCTTTTCAAACCAGTTGCTAACCATGTTTTTCAGCTAAAAAAACACAAAGATTTTTCAATTCCTCTTAAGACGACTATAGGTGGCTGTAAGGCTTCGTTTAGCAGGGTACCTTCTTTGACCTCTAGAACAACTCTGTGGTACTCTTGGTCATTCACCAAGTATTTGTAACCTGTTGTCTATAGTAAAATAACAAATTTAAATATAGCAAAATCTACCAAACACAGGATAATTTGCAAAATAAAAAAGGAAGTGTTAAGTAGGTGAGTGATTGTACCCTTAGACTATAGGTTTCAGGTCCAAGTCCACCAGCTGCCAAGTTGCCACTGAGTTGCCCTGAGCATGGCACCATCCCTACACACTGCTCCCCAGACGCTTAAAGCTGAACCCTGCTCACTTTGGTGATGGGTTAAAAGCAGAGGCCATATTTCATTGTGTGTGCAGTGGTGTGACATGTCACAATGACAAATATATTTAACTTTCTATTTTTCTTTTCATCAAGCTGAGGTTGCATGACTTTACCTTTTTTTAAGTCGACTATAATGCGATGGATGTTGCTAATGACGATATTGAAATATTTTAGGTTATCTAAAAAGATAAAGGGATGTAACAGTAACTGTAACAGTAATAATCGTATTCACCTGTATTCACCAAAAATGAGAGATCTTATAGAAAATGTACACAGAAGTGCTTTGCTATTGGACTTCTGCACTAGTCACAGTTTGTCCATAAGAAACACCATGTTCAAGCATAAGGGTGCCCATCAGTGCACCAGGGCACCAGGACACCCTAGGCCGGAGGTCAATGATCGACTTTGTAGTCGTGTCATTTGACCTCTGGCGGTATGTCTTGGATACTTGAGTGAAGAGAGGGGCCTGGCTGTCAACTGATCACCTGGTGGTGAATTGGATCCGCTTGCAAGGGGTAAAGCTGGACAGACCTGGCAGACCCAAGCGTATCGTGAGGGTCTATTGGGAATGTCTAGTGGAATCTCCTTGTAAGGGAGGCCTTCAACTCCCACCTCCAGGGGAGCTTTGACCAGGTCCCAAGGGAGGTTATAGACATTGAGTCCAAGCGGAACACATTCTCCTCTTCTATTGTTAGCTACCGCTGTAAGAGGCTGTCCGAAGCTGTGGCCAGCTCTGTACCATCCTTGCTCGAAGGTTCATGAGGGTTTTTCCAAACAGTTCACGTGTTTTATGGATCTGGAGAAAGCTTTCGACCGTGTCCCTCGTGGTATTCTGTAGGGGATGCTCCAGGAGCATGGGTTCGGGTCCCTTTGCTAAGGGCTGTTTGGTCAAAATGGCAGCACGCAGGAGTGCAACGGCTTCTTGGGCTCCCGGAATCGAGTGCTTTTTCCCGAGGCCAACTCTTGCCATTTTGCTTGTGTGAACAAGAGTTTAAGGTACAGCCGAACCGAACTTTTAAATATAAGGGATGGTTCGGCCATGGGCTCAACGAGCTCAACAACAACAACAACCGCGACCATCAGACTCGGACTCAGGGCCTTGCTGGGCAGACTGTAGCTCTTGAGGACACTGGGCTGGTGTAGCGGTGTGCGCGGAAGCAGAAGAGGGGCAAATGGGGGGACTGCTGGCTAGGCTAAAGGCTAACAGGAGACCACTGATCCCGTCTCTGTTCCTGTCTAATGTCCGCTCACTGGAGAACAAGATGGACCTGTTCTGACTGAGGCTGGGTGTTTATCGTGAGATGAGGAACTGTGCAGTGCTTTGTCTGACGGAAACCTGGCTCAACAGATTCTACACCCGCTTCGACAATCCGAACACTCACCCCTCCATCAGCAGAAGAGCCGCTCAGCGTGACCGCAGCAGATGTGAGGAGGTCGCTCCAGAGGATTAACCCATGCAAAGCTGCTGGTTCCGACAACATCCCCGGGTGGCTGCTGACGGGCTCCGGACACCAGCTGATGAAGGTACTGACAGACATAGTCAATACTTCCCTCCAACAGGTGACAGTCCCCACTTGTCCGAAGACCACAACAATCATTCCTATCCCAAAAGCGTCCACAGTGACAGGCCTGAATGACTATTGGCCAGTAACCCTCACTCCGATAGTCATGAAGTGCTTCAAAAGACTGGTCATGATCCGCATTTAGGACTCCATCGATGTCACTAAGGACCCGCATTAGTATGCATACAGGAACATTAGATCCACAGAGGATGCCATCTCCTCTGTAGTTCACACAGCCCTCACCCACTCCTATGTACGCCTGCTCTTTGTGGACTTCACATGAGCGTTTGACACAATTAGACCGCAGACCCTGATACAGAAACTCAACACACTGAGCTCCACCCTCTGCAACTGGGTACTGGATTTTCTCAAAAATAGGCCGCAGTCTGTGAGGATCCATGGCGTCTCCTCCTCCGTCACGCTGAGCACTGTGTCGAGCTGTCTGATTGTGAAGTTCACGGACGATACAGTTGTGGCCAGACGCATCACAGGCAGGAGGTGGAACATCTGGAGAGTTGGTGTACAGAAAACAACCTCTGCATCAACGTTGAAGAGTTAGGCAACTGGACGTGAATTTTCTAAAAGAAAACGTTTCATCTCTCTTCCAGGAGGCTTCTTCAGTTGTAACTGGTGGTGGGGAGTACAGCCAATATATACTCTGGGTGTGAAAGAATAAAGCTACTTCAGCTCCCTCTGTTGGGTGGGGCTTTGGGGTCAACTGGTAAAGTGTAAACAGTCGTTAAGAGTCTGATGGGTCGTTGTGGTCCTCATCAGAAAGGTTTCGGTCACCTGCCTCTTTGTTGTGTGAAACTGAGGAAAATCTTTTGGGTATTGTTCTTAAGAGTGCTTTGTATGTGGGTGATGTTATGTTATGTCTAAGCCAATTTTCTCTGTTGAGTGACGTTTTTTTCCGGTTGACAAAAATTGCTTTTTTTTTTACCCGTCTCTTAAACTATCTGTCTTCCCTGGACAAAATGTGAACATTGTTGTCCTCAAAGGAGTGTGTTTTGTCCTTGAGGTGTATGTGAACAGCTGAGTCCAGTCCTGAGGACTTCAGAAGGGGGAGACACCACCCCCCCTGCACATTGGAGGGACAGTGGTGGAAGTGGTCTCCAGCTTCAGGTACCTGGGAGTACACATCTCCGATGACCTCACCTGGAGAACCACCACTTCCTGCACACCAGCGCCTCTACTTCCTCAGGAGACTGAAACGCACTGGACTGGGGAGCTCAGTCCTAACTTCGTTCTACAGATGTGTGGTGGAGGGTCCTGTCCTCCTGCATCATCGTGTGGCTCGGCGGCAGAGAAGAAGCCCGCCAGATGCAGGAAACAGGCCTCTTGCATCATGAAGTACCCCACTCACCCTGTAAACGCTTTGTTTGTCCGCCTCCCATCAGAGCTTGTGAAGATAGAAGCCCCTTCCAGCAACTCAAAGGCAGAGGACATTAGAGGCAGGGGATAAGGGATACTTTACAGTGACCTCCTTAATACCCCTGGAAAAAATTCTGGTTGTTTTCCTCAAAACGACAAGAAGAATCTCGAAGACACAGCAGCTGAGACTCAGCGTGGACAGAAGTCACGACAGAAGTCACAAAGTTTTATACTGCGGGAAATCTCCACAACTTGAACTGGAGCGAGAGCATGCAGCCTCCGTGCGCATACGAGACGATTTGGCAGAGAAGAGTGTGTGACTGCAGCTTAAATAGGCTGCCCACTCATCAGCGATAGCCGGTGAGCACAGGTGGATCAGGTCTCCTGATTGCTGCGCTGCAGCAAGCATGACACTCTGATTGTACGTAGGAAATAAGTCTGAGTTGTAGATCTAGACATTTGCGCAGAAATAGAAGATGAAACAGTCACAGCATCAACAGCTGCAGTAAACATCTTAGCATTTTCATCAACAGCAGTTCACGTCTGTCTTTTGGTCATTGGTTAGGTGTCTGTGTCTGTATGTTTATATAGAACCTGCTCGTTTTGACATTTCCATCTAATAGGCTTTGCACTCTGGCCAAAGCGTATGCTACGCGTATCTATATTTATAATCTGGTTGTAGTAAAATAATTAATGTTTTTACACATGATGTATGCTGGATAGAATCATTCTTAGCCCAACAGCCCAACCAGTGATGTACATTAGTTACAGTGTATGTGCTATTTTGTTGTTTTTTTTCTTACCCTCCTGTCATTTGGTCCTCCATTTACACCATCAATGTCTCCCTAAAACAAACGTGCAGCAACATTTTTAGACACACACATACACACACACTTTGTCACGTCACAATATTATGTCAATATTATTGTATGTAACTTTGAACATAATACAAAAAAACCCAGAATTAGCTGTATGTTATCTTGTCATTTTAGGTCTGCAGGCAAAGGAGTATTATCGTATATGTATATACTCACATCATGCAATGGAAAAGCAGATGTATAGACCCCATTGGCTAGTAGACTTGATATTCCTGTTAAAAGATAAAATTAGTAAAATAAATATGACTAATATTTGAATACAGTCACACTTACAGTCACACTTACAGTCACAGTCACTTAGTCACATCTTACAGTAGAACCTTGGTTTTTCAACGTAATTTGTTCTTGAAGGCCATTCATGAACAGGAAAAGTTCGAAAACTGAAACAATTTTACCTATATGAATCAATGTTAAAATGGATTAATCCATTCCTAGATCTTGGATGACTGTTTATTCAAAGTTTTTCAACAGTATTTTGTATACAGGTCCATGCACGAAACCCTCCCTAATAATAGTCCAATATTATCTGTAAGAATCACTTTTGTTTTTTTCCTCCAGTAACAACCTGATAACGCAATGCCTGTGTTACGCCGAGATGATGCAACTTAAAAAATGTTTTGAAGTAAAAGTTAAAGGGAATTGGAATCTGTAATTAGGTTTGGACAACATTGGCAAATTGGATATTGGCAAAAAGTTAATATCAGACATCCCTAGCTATTATGTCGATGTAGGTTTTATGAGGATGATACCCAGGTCAAAACAGTCAAGTAAAAGACAGTAGGGATGTAACGGTACAGGAAAGCCACGGTGTGGCATGTACCTCGCTATGGACATCATTTACAGGTACATTATTTAGGGGTTGTACAACGTCAGGTCCACTCTCGTAATTAAAATCAACACCAGCTAGTCGCTAATGATGATGTCATTATTAAATAAATCATAGCAGGAGGGAACGCCTTCTAATGTCTATTCACTAAAAACATACAGATTATACACATAAATGTTTTTTACAAGAAAAAAAATCACAAATTGGGAGAGAGATGCTGCAAAGATGTGGTCCTTACTAAGAACTTCAGGGCTATGTTCCTTCAAAAAAACCCAAAATGGTTCGAGATGATGATGTCATTATTAAATAAATCATAGCAGGAGGGAACGCCTTCTAATCTCTATTCACTAAAAACATACAGATTATACACATAAATGTTGTAAATTTTACAAGAAAAAAAAATCACATATTGTGAGAGAGATGCTGCAAAGATGTGGTCCTTACTAAGAACTTCAGGGCTATATTCCTTCAAAAAAACCCAAAATGGTTCAAGCCATGTTGTGATAGCTTTCAGGGTTACCCCTTTCAACGCTTTTTTTACAAATAAGATTTGTTTATACAGGACAATGTACCTTACATATTAAGTCAAAGAATTTATTTGGTCATTTTTAGGAAGCTGAATCATTTGTTTAAAGGAACATTCACACATTACCTTTGTCCAGTGGAAGTCTTGTGTTATACTCAACTTCAGTCAAACCCATTATCACAAAAAATATCCCTTCCTTCTAACATTCAAGGAAAAAGACCTTGTAAAAGTGAACTTTTCATTTTGGGTCTCTGGTAGCTACGGGCGATGTTTGAAAAATGTTCACTTGGTCTTTCGTCTTTATAATTAATCTCATATTTTATAAAACAATACTCATATCAAGTTTTAAAAACACAATTAATCTAGGTGTCTGACTGACACATCTGACAATGGCAGTGCATATTGTGTATAACAATACAGCTGTGGTGGATAAATGTGGCCAATTGTTCCCCTGCCAGCAAGACAAAAGAGACTTCTTTCTTCTTTCAGACCACATGCTCATTTTCTGTTGTGGACAGCATTTTCTAAGCATTGTATCATAAAATGTAAAAGTCTTAAATTAAGGACTTAAGAGCAATGTGAAAATAAGCAATACATCAAATTTGGAGAACTGGAGAGCCACCATTTTGGAAATTCATATAATTAATCTCATATTTTATAAAACAGTACTCAATACTTATATCAAGTTTTAAAAATACAATTAAACTAGGTGTCTGACTGACGCATCTGGTAATGGCAGTGCATATTGTGTATAACAAGCAAGACAAAAGAGATGTACTTCTTTCTTCTTTCAGACCACATGCTCATTTTCTGTTGTGGACAGCAATTTCTAAGCATTGTATCATAAAATGTAAAAGTCTTAAATTAAAGACCTGAAATCTACATACTACATTCAGTGGTCATACCGTGGAAAGTAAGTCCGCGAAGTAGAGGTGAGATAGTTATTATATAATTTACGTATATATTTACTCTTTACAAACCTCCCCCACACTGTTATCAACTCTCCCTAGACTGTATTACCCTTTTCCACACAATTATATGCACAGTAGACTTGTATAATCTGAATATAAGACTTTCCATAATGCCGACCTACAGCCGCATAGCTTTTACCTTCATTTAGCATGTCCAATAGTTTTACTTTATCACCGATAGACAGCATCTTCCGCTGCCTTTTGGTCCCTACCGCAGGTACTTTTGCCGGTCCAGAGCGTTTTGTCGACATTATGGGGTTTGATAAACTCGAAATTGCAAGAGAATTTGCACGTACGTAATGTCAATTTGGCAAGCTGTTTTACGTACGTGTACATATTAAACCGCAACGTTATTGGCGCACAGGTAGAGAAGAAGCGGAGTGACTTTTTAGCCAATCAGAATGCAGAACACAATGCACGATGCAAATCCGTGAAGTAGCGAAACCGTGAAAAGTAAACCGCGTTATAGCAAGGGATCACTGTACATCAAATTTGGAGAACTGGCCACCATTTTGGAAATTCTTAATTGTGTTCACTTTTATGTTTGTAATTGTATGTTATGTTTGATGTGAAAAGAAATATACCCACACTTACCTAGAGAGTACTTAGCCCAAGTGCATCGTGTCCTCTTCAGTATCCCAGAGACCTAATAAAACAACAAATAAAAAGCTTTTTTAAATAGAAGGCCCAGAATTGAACTACAGGCTGTTCCAATCAATAGAAATCTACATACTACATTCAGTGGTCATACCGTGGAAAGTAAGTCCGCGAAGTAGAGGTGAGATAGTTATTATATAATTTACGTATATATTTACTCTTTACAAACCTCCCCCACACTGTTATCAACTCTCCCTAGACTGTATTACCCTTTTCCACACAATTATATGCACAGTTGACTTTTATAATCTGAATATAAGACTTGGATTTATATTACGAAATAAATTAAATAAACGACCAGGGAAAACAATGTAAAATACATTCTAATTTTAAATTGAAATTCTATGTACATGCACTTTGATTGGATGCGGCAGAGGTTAGCGCTCAGCGGCAGGAGGAAGAGCACAGGAGTGGTGATACAGGTGCAGCTCCGGATGCAGGTGAGCGCCATTCGAGTAATCAAGCCTCTACTTATATTAGTAGGAGCTGGGACCAAGGGGAGAGGAGAGTGAACGGAGGCGTGCATACCGGTGAAGACGGACCGTATATGAAAGCCAGGTACAGTGCACATTATTGTAAAGAAAAATAAAGGGTGTTAACTGTCATCTGTGTCAATGTCTTCATTCGGGCTTAACAGAAGCCTGAGAAGATGCAGAGCATTTAGGGGGCATCGTAGGGCGTTCAATTAGGGTAAACTTTCACCAAACACAAGAGCCCAAACTTCACAGCAACGCACTATAGAGCAACGGTGCAGAGTGGCAGACAGACAAGGAAACAGAAGAGCATGCTCCATGCATGCTGTGTTCGATCTCCTCTAGGTAAACAAAGCTACCAGCAATGTCTTTTACTTTATTTTTTGCTATATCTTTACTGTTTAATTTTTTTTAGGTTACAAAAGGTTTTTTTAATCATAAAAATAAAGAAAATATTGGAAATTAAAAAAAAATATTTACAGTAAAATACCACGATTTAGTGAACCTCTCGCGAGATTAGGATAAAAAAAAATCTGCGAAGTACTGAGGGAACGAAAGGAGAACAGTGATATAGAGAGGGAACACTGTATTGCAAAAGAGGCCATTATATTTAATTCTCGCTCTTGTTTTTCTCATAGGCAGAAGACAGGAGGCGGAGCTGGAGGTGACAGAGTTAAAGATGCTAAGATTCTCTTTAGGAGTGACAAGAATGGACAGGATCATGAATGAGGTCATTAGAGGGACAACACAGACAGGAAGGTTTGGAGAAAAAACTAGAGAAGCCAGATTGAGATGGTTTGGACATGTGCAGAGGAGGGACAGTGGATACATCGGTAGAAGAATGTTAGAGATGGAGCTACCAGGTAGGAGAAAGAGAGGAAGACCAAAGAGGAGATATATGGATGTAGTGAGGGAGGACATGCAGATAGTTGGAGTCAGAGTAGAAGATGCAGAGAACAGGGAGAGATGGAAATCAATGATCTGCTGTGGCAACCCCTGAAAAAAAAAGGGACAAAGCCGAAAGAAAGAAGAAGAAGAAGCTCTTGTTTTTCTCTTTTTAAAAAGCGGGGCCGGATGGTGTGTTCCAACGATTAGGGGATCACACTCCTTAGCCTCCCAGGAAAGTCTATTCCAGAGAACTGAAGAGGAGAATTTGGCTGATAGCTGGAAGTCAGATTCAGGAGGAACAATGCGGTTTTCGTCCTGGCTGTGAAACACTGGACCAGCTCTATACGCTCCACAAGGTGCTCGAGGGTTGTTCAGCCCTTAGCAGAGAAAAATAAACAAAAGGCACAACAAAACAAATGTGACTAGCGTGTTGTTCGTTCTATTCATAAGCCACAGAAATACTTACTATTGAGCTTCTTGTCTTGCTGTCAAAGAAATTGTCCTTGTCTGACATATCGAATCTGTTAACAACAAAATGAGAGATTTGTAGTTCAGTATGGGATGACATGGGATTTTTAAACATTTTGCATGCAATTTGATGTTTTCAGGAAAATTTATACAATATAAATGATTAGATTTTTGTAAGGGTCTTAAAGGAGACAAATCCTAGATTTTTGTAAGGGTCTTAAAGGAGAAAAATCCATTTTATTTTACTTCAGTGTCAAAAACAATGTCCTAGTACAGATGACACGCAATCAAATCAACCACAAGGTGGTATTGTGTCATGTTGCATTTATGCACATCTTAATGTGTGATCATAGTGTTGTTAAAAGTTATTAAACACCACTTGGGTTCTGACCACGGCCTACCACAGCACACCCTTCTGCCCAATCGGAGATGATGCTGCAAGATATGCTGAACGATGTTGGCCCAGCTCTTCTGGGCCATGTCCCAGAAGAGCTCTGGAGTTAATGTCAGATTGTTTACAGAAGTTATAATGGTTTCATTGCTAAGCTTAAAAAATATATTGTTCCCATGGTTTTCCCAAATCAGAAACCATAATTCGATAGATCTGTTTGCAAGGCAAAACATATGAATACAAGAACTACCTAGAATGAGGGGCTTATTTTTCCGATGACATGGTGCCATACAAGGTGGCTTCATATGTGAAGGCTGACACATGACACTTCAGTGACTAAGTGGAGACCAATCAGGACAACAAACACATGTGGCAGGGATCAGGACTCATAGGCTGCTGTTAATCCTTTAGCTAGCAGAGGAGTTCAATGTCTTGAGAGATGTTGAGATGTCATGAGATTTTCACCGGCAGAGGTTCCACTGGTTCCGATAGAGTCCAGCTAAAGTGTGGTAAGGGTTATCTATTGTACCTCTATGAGCATGACATCAGGAGAGCGCTTAGGAGAGCGACCAGCAGGTATTAAAAACATAAGGCCGCAACACAGAAGTCTCCAGCACGAGTAAAGGTGTGCAAATCTGTTTTATGTGAACTGTGGCTGGTGTAACAGTGATCCTACAGCACTGCTCCCGTGACCTGGAAAATGTTATTATCAGTTGTAAACTCTCTTCTTCCTTTCTGGGCGGTGTTTACATGCCGCAGGAAGCACGGCAGGCGCTCACCAACCAGATACTGTCGGTGGAGTGGACAAACCAGGGCTCCTTATTTAATATCTCACTCACGAGCTCCCAGAGTACATACAGTTTATTAATTGCCAATTAGAAAGGGGAACACACTGGTTCACACTGTTCCTCAGTCTGCACTGGGCTACTAGGACTACGCCATGGCCCACCTGATTCCTACCTACAGGCAGAAACTTAAAGGGTGCAAACCCGTAGTAAGGACATCAAAGCATTAGTGCAATAGAGCCATTAAGGAACTTGGACTGTTCTGACTGGGATGTGTTCAGGATAGCTCACAACAGTCTGGAAAAGTGCACAGAGGCTGTAACATCCTACCTTAGCTGCTACGAGGACAGCTGTATACCATCACAAACTAGAGTGAGTTGCAACAACGACAAACCCTGGTTCACAGCAAAACTTAGAGGAGGCTTAAGGAAGGAAGGAAGGAAGGAAAGTGAACTACTTGTCTTTGTGACACAGCACACCACTGCACACAACCAAATATGACCCCTGCTTCTAACCCATCACCAAAGTGATCAGTGGGCAGCTTTGAGCAGTGAGTTGGGACAGTGCCATGCTCAGAGCACCTGAGTGGTAACTTGGCAGCTGGTGGACTCGAACCTGAAGCCTTCCAGGCCCCAGTTTGCTTCCTTAACCACTAAGCCACAACTGCCCCTCAAGGAAGAGGCATTCGGGAGTTGGGACAAAGAGAAGTACAAGGAGTCAAAGTACAGGTTTAGCAAGGAGGTGAGGAAAGCTAAACGACAGT